AGCATACTGAAAGTGCACAGCAAACAGACTCACAGAGAGCTGTTGTCCCGCTGACAGGATGTGAGTATAAAAAGTGAAACGTGAGCGGGAAGTGTGCAGGGTCATAAGGCAGCGCAGCTCGTCACACACTTATTCTCACAGGCAGACAGACAGATAAAAAGACAGGCAGACAGGTAGTTTGCGGGTAAAACAGGAACTTGGGAGCGGACAGTTTAATGCGCACTTTGTTTTACTGCGACGCAGCCATGGTCGGCCACACACACAACTCATTTCCTGAGAGTATTAAAATAATAGGTGATTGTGGAGGGCCAAAAATGAATAAAAAAAATTGACCAGAAAACATTACTCCTGGTGAATATTGAACACTGGTGGCTTAAGAGTTGGAACACTTTAATCTTTTAAGAGATAAGCCGTTCTAACAGCTGAGATTTATTAATCCTGCTTTGCCAAACTGGGAGACAGAAAAGGCTCCTTGTGTAAGTGGGTACACAATTACAGCTGAAATTATCATTTTGATTCATAGGCCTTTTTCACAGCAGACATGTTGACATGTCACAGAAGGAAAAGTACTTGTACAACTAATAATATTTACAATGACTGTTGTATTCAAGTGTCCCTGTAAGTCATGACAGTGTGACAGTAAACCAGCATGCACAATATCAGCACATGGAACGTGTCAAAATGTCTCACACAGCCTTTCTCCAACAATACACGTGTTTTAGCTTGTGACTGGTTAGATCTCTTCCTCAAGCTCCATTAACACCAAACTTTTATTTCAATTAGAATGGAGGAGAGACACATTTGTAGAGCTGACACCATTAGTCCGTAAATTGATTAGTGACAGAAAATAAGTCAATTATCAAAACAATTGCAGGCCTTATTTGCTGCGTGTTAAGTTTAATTGTGTTTTGGTGTGCTACTCCAATGCTCCACCAGAGAAAGAGCTTGGGACTTCACTGTTTATATAAATGCATGGTAAATATTTAGAAACAAGCAGCAGAGTTGGGCTGCTGCTTTTATATGCACATTATTTTAGTGTTTTTACTCACATGCGCAGTTTAGTTTACTGACCAAAATAATCCACTTATTATTAATACTGCTTTCCAGAGAGTCCTGGGTACACATATTATGAAACAAACTTTAAAAAGATAAAGTGTGTGTGCCATATCAGGTGGGTCCATTCTTATTAGTACACTGCAACACAGATATAGCCAACTTTACCCTGAACAGCCGACTAGTCTGGTGAGCAGAGCGTTTAATGGTTTGATCAAGAAAACAGTTTTCTACCACTTTTTTTCCCCCCAATTGTGTCAATACTGACAAAACCCTCTGAGTGAAATTAAACACTTGGATATTGTTGCAAAAATATTATTTGAAAAACTGGGTATTTATGATATTATTTTAATTTTTTTTTAACTCTCTTTAGACTTATCTTTAGTACTGTCTACACTTTATTGCTCTCTGAAGTTCTCTTTCACTTTTTCCACTGTCACACGCATGCAGGCACATGCACACATACACACAGACACACAAACAATCTGTTAGCTGAGCATCTGAGGGTCTAGAGCCAGTGAGAAGTCTGCTGTGTTTTCAGTTCCAGCCCAGATGGCAGCATTGGCTGAGTCAGCGGTGGCTGGTGGTTCACTGGATGATTAGTCGTTGATAACAGGAGGACAGCCAAGCACTAAGAGCCAGGAGCTGTGGAGCTGTGGAACTGTAGGACTTCTCAGCCACTTTGTTCTGTCTGAATGAAATAATAACTTTAACAAGTGTGATAAGCGTATTCAGCTTCTCTTGAAAGGAAATGCACAAACATGAACTGATAAATGAGAACAATCAAGATGATTAGAGACAATGGAGACAATGATTTTGTATGGGTCATATCCATTTAACATTTGTCATACCTGGTTGTACTTAAAAATAACAAATATCTGTTTATACTGTAACCACCTGTATAGTTTTCTCTTGATGCAACACTGGCATTTTTATTTGTCATGCTGTTGAATGAGCACAGGAGGAGGAACTATATATTCAGCCAACATCTGACACACACAAACAAATGTGTGCTTGAATGCACAAGAGACAGTCTTGCAGTACTGCAGGCTAACCTTCACCAACATCAACAGTGAAATAATAATATAAGAAAGCTTCAAACTGCTGGTTCAGCTAAAACCTCAGTAAGATATCAGACTTGGCACCAGTGCAGCGCTGGAAGGAAATCCTTTGGGATTTCTTATTTAGTGTCACAAAGCAACTTGTGATTCATAGCTGGACTCCAGCAATCAAAAACCGCTGCTGCAAGCAGTTTCATTTGGAGTTTGAGAACAGCTAAACGGCAAATATCACATTACCTCCATCCGGTCTGGTGAGCGTTTAAAGCAGCACATTTCAGCGGCTGGAAGCCTCTTTGTAATAGGACTGTAATGGCTATGGTCATCATATTTCACACATCACAAGGTAGCATCAATGCCAGTTTGCTAAGCGTGGTTAAGGTAGATCCTGTATTTCTTTGATCACCATACTCAACCAAAAGATGATGCTGTGTAATTTTGCTTTAGATTTGACCGTACATATTTTAGTCCTGGTTTGGTTATTGTGAAGGCTGCAGAGGTAAAACTTTATATCTGGTTGGCCCATTATCATATACTGTAAATAATAAGGCTAAACATCTTCCACATGTTTACTGTGGTTGGTATTCATGGACTCATTCCTTTTTTGTATTTCCCTCAGACACTGCGGCAGTGTTCTTGCTGTAACAGCCTAGTAGAGCTAAATAAATGCAAAAGAAAGAGTGCGATGCAGCACAAAGGGTTACCCACGTGCTCGCCTCAGGCAACCTGTAATGCAGCAGCAGGTTAAAAACCACAATTTGAAAAAATGCCACTGTTATTTAGGGTGTGAGATGCCATATCCTGTTTTTCTGTCACACACACGAAGACTGAACAGTGAGAGAACAAAATTACGTGACATTACTACTGCGATTTAACAGCCACTGCTCTGCCAGGGCGATGGTCGAGCAGAGTTTCAGCCACACAAACACAGTACATTCAGCCTCAGCCAAGATACATTTGTAAAGTCTGACATGTTCTTTGCTCTTTTCAGTGTCCTCCCATTTGCTGCACCATGTTGCATTTGCACAGCATATGAACCCTTTTCATGGTTCACAAGGACCACACTAAACCCAACAAGAACTGATTAGCCAGTTTACATTAGCTGCACACTCGCAACAAAAGAAAGTTATCAGTTGGATATTATAATTATTGCCAAACCAAGTCTGCAGGGACATAGGTCCCATCACTGGGATGTTCTAAAGCAATACACTGACTAGTCACCAAAGCAATATTCATCCATATAAACACTGGCATGGTGATGGTGCTACATAGGGGTCCTTCTTCTACAAGTTTGGAGAATGTGTGGTGCATCTTATGCTGGCCAGACATTTGAAAACAAAAGTTTAATACCTCTATAGAGTCAAACAGAGCAAGACTTTGTTTGTGCCACATCATATGTGATTCTTTTTATATCTTGCTGCTTATAGTAATGACTCGGCACCTGCTTTTGGGGCCATATAAAGCCCTGCGTGCCCGAACTTGTCACCACTGTGTAAAAGTGAACACTGAGGCACACAGCTAGGCCAGGCCATGCAAAGAACATGCAAAACATTTCAACTTCTTCCAACAGAGACCAGGTTCATCCACAGCAGCCATTGTCCACTATGTTTTAAGTCACAGTATTCGACCAGCATTCCTGAAATGCTGCAATTACAGCCTGGCATACCAACTGAAACAAAACGCATATACACACGTGTGCACGCACACACACACTGTTGTTGAGGTCTGCAGCTGTTGCTGTATGTCTTCTCCAACAAAAGAGCGCCATTTCAGTGCAATAGGAGGCGCAATAAAGCACATTCCTCTCACAACTTACAAAAATTAAAATGTGTCTGATAAACATACTAATTTTGAGTCCCAGCACTTTTGCATTGGATAGTTAACTGGCTCCCACAGTTCAGTCTTTGGTCTAAATTTTTTGAAAGTCCTCAGTCCTGACTCATTTCTTGAACAATCAACAACATCCCTGAAAGTATAGCCCCCCACCACCTATACCTCAATACTGCAATGACTTAAAGTACTGGACTGAATCAACCATGAGTAATCATGTAGTGCTGTTGTTGGATATGATGAGGTATGTACTCCAGTAACATCCCATGGGGCAGAATAGAGTCATTCGCTGGCAGCTCATGTCAGGAGAAGCGAAGGAAACAGCTGCTGTTGTTTGGTCTGAGAGACCCAGAAACATTTAACTGAGCCAGAATATCAGGACTCTTCTACAGGTTAAACAGGTTGAGAAATTTACACGAGAGCGCCGCTAGAAAGGAAATAATTCACATTACGCTGCAACCACCTGCTTGTTGATGTACAGCACACTGCTGTCGGTTTGTGGTGGAGTTTACACTGTTGTGAAAACGCAGTGATTGCGGATGAAAAGTTGTAAAATTGACCTCACTTTTAACAAACCGGGGTCCTTAAGCATTTCACTCCCCTGACTCACTCATTCAAGCAATTGAGAATCAAAATAAAGCAGTAACGATATTATTTGGGACGTTGACAACGGGGAAAATTCAAATAAAATGTAGCAAGAATTTGGATGCTACTTGCAAGCTAAGTTTGCTGGCTAACCCCTCCGCCTGTTAGCCAGCACTGCTGTCAGGCAAAAACCTGGAGAGGGTAGTACATCAACAGAAAACTGTGCCCTGTGTAAAAGTCCTCTCACACTTGCACAAGGATTTAACACTCCCACATAACTATTTTCAGCGCAAAAAAGCCGCTAATGTTAGCTAGCAAGTTAGCGCTTCCTCCCCGGCATCTCGTCCCATGTGAACTCGTTTGACAGTCACTGAATTGACGGGGAATTGACAATTTGGCACGACACCAGGCGAAGAGAAGTCAACTTAGCCCCTAGTAAACAAGAATAAAAGTTAGTTAAAGCCAAAAACTCACCAGTTTGTCTCTTGGGGTAGTGCTTTTCAGGAGGTAACAACCGAAGTCTTGGTCAGAGAAGTACTTTCACCGACCTTGGCAGCTCTGTCTGTCCCCAGCAGCCACAGACAACAACACTCTCAGCACCCCTCCCTCTGCCACCAGAAAAAGGAAGAAAAAAAAGTCCAGCTTCAAGCCCCGCCCAGTCACGTTTTTAATTGGTCAATATTAGGGACAGTGCGAAATAAGCCAATTAAATCAGTTATTGTCATTTTCTCTGTCCAAGAGTAATGCGTCACATTATTTCCTCTCGTCAGTGCGTGGCAAAGATTTTATGTCTCAAAATTCAATTAGAGCTGAAATTTATGATGAAAAAACAACGAGTAATCGAAGTTTTAGAAGGATTTGGTGCTGTAATTTAACATAGTAAACGTAAATATTTCTTCAAAGATTAAAACACTCATTTCTCAGACCAATATAATATAACCAATATATAATGTAATGACCACCTTTAGAATATGAAAATTGTAGTTTTTTTTGTGGATTTCTGCAAATTACATTTCTATATAAGCCTCATCTTACCCTTGCCAGTCTTTCATTTATACTATCATATAAAATAGTCTGTAAGTGGACTGAGAAAATGAATCAGCAGCTTTTCTGAAGACTGATTAACTGAGGAATTCCTTCTTTCTTTGCCATATATGATAGTAAAGTGAAGTGTTTTTTGTTCGATGCCACCCTTGAGAGAAAATTAAATATTTCCAATCACATTTTATAGGAAAAAAAGTAAGTGTAAGATATTTTGAAGCAGGAGCATTTACGCTATCTTATCCAACCAATGCTTTTCTTTTGCCCACATTGCATTCATATCCATGTCTGGATTCAAACTGCAATTTACATCTTAGCAAACTTCCTGCTTGTAACGGCTGGTCTGAGCCAGCATTAAGATTGATGGATGAAGTCAAAGGCATGTTTGAACATTAGTGGGTCTAGAGAATGGGGTCCTGCATTCTTGGCCCTGAGGGCTGCAATGCAAAGCAACAGGAACAACACACACACACATACACACACACACACACACACACACACACACAGCCTTTAAAAATGTCAAGGCTCCACAATCAAAACATACAGCTTTTTCAATACAAGGCCATATGTAGCTCACTGATGCCAGGTTGCCATAAAGCATGCTGGAACCTAGAGTCTGTGACTGTGGGAAGAGTTTGAAGCTCATTGTTGTCGGCAGTGTAATCAGAGTTATGTACAGGGTAAATATACCTCTTCAGGACTGTAAGGGCCAATTAGGTTAGATGATGGGGGTCAGAGTACATCCACGCCTACCACTACCATATCTGATGGCTGTCACAGAATTACGTTTCATTTGCAGTAAAACTGTGCACACCCACGCACACAAGAAACATGTTTATTACACTGTCCAGCCATCGTCCACTGATGTGTTAGCTCATGTCAATTATGTCATTCTGAAACTTGAGCCAATGCTGTAAATAGGTCAGTTCTCAAACAAACTTTCTGATTTACACCCTTTACTTAAATACACTAACTTAAAAGTTGTATCACATACGTTCAACAGAAACGTACGTGATACAACAGTCATTTCCGCTCTCTGTTCAGCAGATAACTAGGCATAAACTCATAAGAAACCTTAGCACACATCTTACTGAAGGTGTTGGTCCTGGTGTTTATATTTTGACATTTGATGACACTGCCAGTGCTTTGGAAAGCAGTGGCTGTATGTTTGACGGAAGAGACACATAAATGCTGCTGAAGTGTCTTTGAGCAGCAGCACATTCATTTGTTTATTGCTGCAGGGCTGACCTTTGACCTTCCTGCTATGAGGCTAAAAAGTGGAAAATTCTAACTTTCCCTTTAGAAATTAACACTTTGTCACAGATTATGTGTAAATAGTTTTACAGATTGGCCAATTGTGTAAAATTGTCCAAAAGTGACACCTGGTGGTGATTTCTAGTAGTGTGGCTATAACTGTTCTAGTATAATGATGTTCATAGTGCACTGTACAGGCCATTCACAACAAAGATCACTCCTGCAGCCTCAAACTCACACTTTGTGTACAGGATGTATAGTGATTGCACTAGATGGCCCATTTGCTGCACAGGCTTTGTACAACAATAACTATGAAACAGATGAGATGAAACTTTCCTGTGGCTAAACTGGGGGTTTTTAATCTATAGTGCAAAGATAAAGTTTGACCCTCTTAAAATGCTGAACAAATACAGAAGAAATTTTCAACTGGAAACACTGGAAATTACAAAATAAAATGCAGAAAAAAGTGAAGGCATATTGTTCTAAAAACCTAAGTGTGCATATATATATATATGTATGTATGTATAATATATATGATCCAAAATGAAAATACTCTTACCGTCTTATGAATTGTTTTATACAAATTTTCTTTTTTTTTTTTTTTTTTGGAAGCTTAAAGATCTCATGTAGCTTTTACACTATTTACTTGTTTTGTGAGGCACATTTGATGACAATGGAACACATTCATGTTCAGTTGTTGAAAACAGTATGACAATTTAACTTTTTGGCCAATAATTTAATCCTTGTAAAATTCCATAACAATCTACAACCAAACAGTAATGAGTAAAGAAAACCAAAGCCTCCACTGCCATAAATTAGAGAATAACAAGTATTATCTGTATCCTTCCATCTCTCCCTGCAAAGTCTGCAGAACAATTTTTATATACATGTACAAGATGAAATACTGTAATGAAACATCTTCAATCTGGAAAAAAGACTACAATCTTGCATATTTAAACATAGCATCAAACAAAGAGGTCTTGTTTAAGGTCAGTTATGCATGCAAATGTCACTGGTGGTTTCAATGGTTTCCAGTTTGGCTTGCAAATACAAACGTTTTTCTAATGCAGGCACAAAAATCTCCAGCCTCTGGGTGGCAGTAGCTCACCACACTGCTGACTCAGCTGACTCCAGCTGTATGTGCACCGATATCAACTGAATTTAACATAATGTACATAATCTTTACTTTAATGGGTGATGCACAACAGCTAATTCAGCTGTGTTGAAGATACTTTGTGCATTTTAAAAAACGTTTTACAGGTACTTTCTCTACAAATGTTCTTGGCTGCTCTCTCATCCATGTCCTACAGAACCTGCTCTCAGCTCAGGATGGGGACTGAAAATGAGCATAATGTGGTGATGTAATGCAACTGGCTGCTGTTTCTTCTCATGCATAATGTGAGCATAAAAAAATAAATATACCAATATCAACATTCAGGCCCCGGAGGTGAAAACAAATACAAAAACAAATGCCATGTTAGTGCGCTCCTCTCTGTTTGCCGTTGGCGCTGTGCAGAGCAGAACAAGAGTTTCTACTCTTTCATCTCTTGATGTCCATACTTGGCCGGGTTCCAGGCTACTGTTGCTAACGGCTGCATGGACTTGTTTGGATTATTCTGGCTGTGCAAAAATACACAATATAAAAAAGGGCAAAAATATATTTGATCCGTTAACGTTAAGCCTAAAATAGTGTGTCCAAGCTTGTTAATTGGTTTGATTCTCACTCATTTTCCCTTTCACCTGTTTTCACATCTTTCCAAACACGTTGGTTTAAGAACAGAGGCAGCGAAAATGTTAAATGATATGTCAACATTTCCATTTTTGTGGGTAGGAATCTAAATGCTGCCAGAACAGATGTGAATATACATGGATTCTAAATGTCACTGGCCTGCTGCCTGATGAAAAGGCTTTTTGTTGCCCAGTGGACCAGGTGCATTGAAGTGTGATTTCTACTTCTTCACAACCTCTCCGCACTGCGAAGTGTCCAAATGTCAGCCCTCTGTTTGCCCCGGTTGTGGAAACACCAGGTTCTGCGTGGTGGGCTGCAAGTTGAGCAGAAAGGACAAAACGAATCAAATCCGCCCCCCCTAGTTTTCTCTGGTCTGGTGACACTCGACTAAACTGCTCCGCTTTGTTTGCACTTTCAAGTGTTTCATATTTGTAAAAAAAAAAAAAAAAAAAAAAAAACTACCACAGGGAGGGATGTACCAGCTTAAAAAAGCAAGTGAAACCAGCTGCTGCCCTTGTCGGATGCCCCCTTGCTTGGTCCAGGTTGCTCATGGTTGCCTGTTTGAGACTCTTAAATCCACCCAGTCTGACCTCGTCTGCAGGCTGTCTGCCAGACTGTTTGGGAAACATCACAAAAAAGGCTTCACCATGTTTCAAGTTCACAGCTCTCTGAGGGGTCTTGAAATGAAATGCTGTTTGAATTTCAGCTGCCCTAAAAGGAGACGGCGGCGCCTAAGTGCTCCGCTGCTCTGCAACACCCATGGGCCTCGCAGTGTTGTCACGCTAATTGGCTTCTGTTCTGCAAGCATGCTGTGCAGTCAAACACACACAAAGACACGCATGCATCTTGACAGTAAACAGTATACAGCCTTCCTCAGATCTGCCAGGCTCTTGCCAGACTTTGAAGCACTTGTTGGACCTTTCTGGGCATTTTGATCTAATTTACTTGGTCATAACCCCCTTCGACTCTTCCCTGTCTCCCTGTCTCATCCTTTTCTGGCTGTTGCTTTGCAGCTCACTGGATCATTATCAAAGCTGCTGCCTCCAGAGCTTTGCTGCGCTGATAGCGGTTTGATGCAGCTTGCTGTTAGTCGCATATGTGCATCTCTATGTTTCTCTGTCTTTCCCCCTCTTCTCCACCTTTTGCACACTGATCTGTCTGTGGAAACTGCATCCCCAGTAGGACTGGGTAGTTCTCTGCAAAGGATTCCTAGGTTATTGATGGCAACAATGTCTCCTTTTGTGCCCTGATCGATGGCAGAAAGTTCACGGTGGAATTATTGGTGCAGAGACATGTCAAAAAATATAGCAGCAGCAGCAGCCAGGGGGGTACTGACTGATTAGTGCAGACAGAAAGGAGGAAAAAACATACACAAATCATTCATAAAGGAGAGTAAACACCTAAACCCACAGCATTCTTAAGCTATTGTGCACCGACACCCAAGGCTTTGTCATCAGATTAGTGTCAGACATTAACCGGGGCAGTGAGGACTCAGGCATTGCAGATGAGCATTTATTGGCTGCACTGAAATTGAGAAAGAGTCTGTGTTTGCCCTGGAG